CAAAGTCGATCAAAAATCAAAGTGATGCCATTCCTTTGATTACCGTGTGATGGTTTCACCATGCTACCGTAATTGTGATTAACACGAAACGACAGTCAAAGCTCAGCAGTCGTATTCGCCAGCATTGTCTCCCTGTGACCTTTTTCTGTTTTTGAAACTAAAACATCCGCTTCGGGCAACGCGCTATCAATCCATTGAAGCATTGCAGGTTCAGAAGACCCTCCCACTTGAGTATTTTGAAGCCGATAATAGAGAGTTGTATTAAAATATGTGAAAATGTTGTTGTTTATTTATCAGTCCGGACCAAATGCATGGATTTCATGACCCCAGATTATGTGCATGATGCTATAATGTCTCGGACAATGTGTGACTGTATATAATATAATATTAAGTCGACTGAATAAATTTGAAACTCTTCATAATCCTACCACTTCCTGGAGTATATCATATTCAGATGCATGCGAATTAAAGTCTTCCTTACTCACTTTTTGGATAGATGTACATACATATGCTTCCGAAATTAACTTTTGCATATGTACCATTTATACATAGTTACATACACATAAACTTGCATCGGACAACAACTGGCAGTTAGTTATTTCTTGAATGCAGTAAAAGTGAGGAATGTGAGCGATGGATTGCGAAAATTACTATAACAAATCTGAGTTAGTGGGCAAAATACTTGGAAGAAGCACACAACAAACACCAAAAAGTAGTGATAAATAATGGAGAGCGAAAGTGTCGAAGAAAATTGTCAGGCCAATCACTTGACAACTAAGGTATTCACCATACACACATACATATACATATATAAATATGCCAAAGTGTGTTCCTCAATAACACGCGACGATTTTCGTATTTTCATTAGAAAAACAGAAAAAAATAAGTTTAAATAAAAATGAAGGTGAAGAAATAAAAAAATCGTACCCACACTGAAATAGTGACCGCAACGCGATCGCGGACAACAAACACTTTCGCTGCATTTACATTTGACTTTGGCGTCGTGTAATTGAGAAAAGTGGAAAATCGCCGAGGGCTATGTAGCACACAACCGATTAATATGCAACACCAGCGACAATTGCTTGCAACAAGGACACACACACATGCGCACAAGCACGCTTACAGTGAAATATGCGTTATGACTCGTCTATATACATACATATATGTATTTGGGAGTAAGTGTGTATGTGCAATTGATGCACCTCGTCTAATGGCACTCGGTCAGTGGAGCAGTGTTGCTGTGCTCTGCCATGCTGCAACAACTTCAGTAAATAATGATGTTGTCAAAGAAAATGGGCTTTTTGATATTTTGTATGGGAAAAGTGTGGCAAAAAATGCAGATGAAATCCCGCAACTCTTAAAACTTAACAAGCTCCGAAATGGAACTGACTTCAAGCAATTCGCTTGAATTTGATGAAGAAAAATGTTGTTCAATTCATATATTTTCGGTTTTAGGTAATAATTTTTGGACAAAACAAGAGTTATTAACTTTAGTTCTTTTCACTAAAACGCATATTCCATTTTTGAATAGTGCAGATTTCAAACCTTAATAAATATACAGTTACTGACAATAAAACCGTATCAAATACAGGTTGGTCGAAAAGTTTAAGGATCATGGTGGTAGATAAAGTCTCATCCATAGCTATAAAACGACACAAGAAATCGGATTTATTCTGCTTAAAACGCTCCAAATTATGCTGAGAAATTTGCTTTCGATCCAGTTTTTGTTGAATTGTTAACGTGTGCGGCCCTTACTTTCTAAACAGCTTTTTCATATGTAATGTCATATGCCTATGGCAATGGCGATTTCACGCTTATTTAAACTTGGATCTTCTCCAACAATATTAAGCACTTGCTCAATGTTTTCTGGAGTGGTTGCGGTTTTTAGTAGTCCTTCGGGTGGATCGTCTTCAAGCCTAGTACGACCACGTTTAAATTCTCCAGCTTAAAATTCAACGGTGCGTTTTGAATGTGAGGACTCCTTATACACTTCTAAAAATAGTTTATAAATTTCCTTTGCTTTTAAACCTTTCAAAACAAAGAATCTAGTCACTGCGCGATATTTAATTTTTTCCATATTAAAAAATACTCTGAAACGTCAACTTCAAATGGATTGTAAAGAAGAATTAATTGACAGAATGACTTGTAACTTTGCATGTGTTCTCACGACAGATGTATCAACTTGAGAAAAAAAAATTTGGTGCTATTTTTTGATATTTTTATTATCTGTCGTAAACAGTTACATTTACTGTTATATTTTTCTGTTATCTTTATGTTTAAACTAAACAAAAACAAGTAAGGAAGTTCTAAGTTCGGATGTAATCGAACATTTTATACTCTCGCAACTTGCAAGGATCAAAGCCCGGGAAATTACTAGAGGCGTTCGCAAAATTTTATACTAAAGGAGGTATTGATCCGATTCAACCCATTTTTGACACAAAAAAATACTATTATCGTAAGTTTCATTTATATATTTTATTATATGAACATCAATTATATATCTTACACATTGACCGATATTTTTGGTAAAAAGTCAACTATAGGCACTGGGGTCCACAATTTTCAATACCTATGGGTGTGAACAGTTTTGGTTCAATTTAGATAATTTTTGGTCACAATGTTTAACTTTAAACGCATTATTCACACAAAGTTTTACTCGGATACAATCATTGTTGCTTGCAGAGTGAAAAGTGAAAGAATCAGAGGGATTTAAAATGCTGTTATATAGGAAATAGGCGTGGTTGTAATCCGATTTCGCCCATTTTCGCACTATAACATAGAAATATGAGAAGAATGTTATGTACCGAATTTTGAAATCTGTTAAGCAGATCCCAAGATATGGGTTTTCACCCACTGTCTAATTTTGAACGCGGCTCCTATGAAGTCATCTCATAAATCCCAGAGATAAAATGTAATATCTCCGTCGTGTTTAGTGGTTGATTTATCGCGCTTTTAGTAGTTTAACAGTACCGTTATATGGGGAGTGGGGAGATTTGAAACCTGATTTCACCCATTTTCACGCCGTCGATAAAGGTGCCAAAAGCATTTAGCATTTTTCTCAGTGAATTTTGTTATTATAGCTTTGGCGGCTTAGGAGGTATGCATATTAAACTTTTTAGGGAGCGGGACCACGCCCACTTCTTAAAAAAGTTCCAAACTGCAGATGCCCCTCTCTAATGTGATCCTGTATAGCAAATAACAGTCTTGTATCTTATTGCGGATTTAGTGATGACAATTTATTTGTTTTTGATTAATGGCGTTTTGTCGGCGTGGCAGTGGTTCGATTACGCCCATCTGCAATACCAACCGTCTCACGGTACCAAGAAACATGTCTACCAAGTTTCATAAAGATTTCTCAATTTTTACTCAAGTTACAGCTTTCACATACGGACGGACGGACAGACAGTCACCCGGATTTCAACTCGTCTCATCATCCTGATCATTTATGTATGCATAATCCTAAATCTAACTCGATTAGTTTTAGGTGATACAAACAATCGTTAGGTGAACAAAACTATTATACTCTGTAACAACAGGTTGCGAGAGTACAAAAAATAGTGCTTGTTCATGCGACTTCTGATCCCGCGACATTTTGAAACTAAGCACACAACCCACCGTACAACATCATATACCACCTACAACACACCATATCACCCACCAATACAACCATATACGACTAACCAACCACATTATACACCGACACTTCAATCATCATCTTCTTCACCACCCAAATAAACAAAAATAATTGTTCAGACCGGGACCCGTTCGTAAAGCGAAAATGTAGCAGTGAAGTTTATCCGGAAGTGACCTAAAGTGAAAATCCAAATCAAGTGTATTTAACATTAAAAAAATTTTAAAATAATATATTAGGTTAAGTAAAAAGTTCGTTCGGTTTTTATCTAAGAGATGGCGTTATTGTCCATAGTACTAGTGTTACGTGTCGCATCATGGCATACTATATGGCGCTGAAAACGTGTTTATTCGCGCTAAAAGTTGGATTCAAAAAGAAGCTCGATGTTTGGATGCCACACGAACTAACGCAAAAAACATGATGGACCGAATTTCCATCTGCAAACCGCTGCAGAATCGCAACAAAATCGACCCGTTTCTGAAGCGGATTGTGACTGGCGATGAAAAATGGGTCACTTGTGACAACATCGAAGGCAAACGGTCATGGTTAAAGCTCGGGGAAGCGGCCCAGATAGTGGCCAAGACCTGATTGACGGCCAGAAAGGTTTTGCTGTGTGTTTGGTGGGATTGGCAAGAAATCATCTACTACGAGCTGCTCCCCTATAGCCAAACGCTCAATTCGGCCCTCTACTGCCAACAACTGGACCGCTTGAAGGCAGCACTCGTCCAGAAGAGGCCATCTTTGATCAACAGAGGCCGAATAGTGTTCCATCAGGACAACGCCAAGCCACACACGTGTTTGGTGACGCGCCAGAAGCTCCGGGAGCTCGGATGGGAGATCCTAATGTACCCACCTTATAGTCCGGACCTGGCACGAAGTGATTACCATCTTTTCCTGTCCATGGCGAACGCGCTTAATGGTGAGAAGTTGGCCTCAAGAGAGGCCTGCGAAAATTGGCTCTCCGAGTTTTTGGCAATAGGGACGCAGTCTTCTACGAGAGGGGTATAATGAAGTTGGCATCTCGTTGGCAACAAGTACGAACAAAACGGCGCATATTTGTTATCATCTTTTGAAAAATCAATAAAAAAACCGAACGAACTTTTTACTTTACCTAAGATTATAATAATTAAGATGAATTGTATTTCAATTATATTTGCTAACCGAATTCTGAAAGAATAAAAAATAAAAGCAAAGTGATTAACCAGTGCTTTTGTTGCCGTGCCAAAAAAAAATTTTATCAAGGAATATATCAACTATAGGTGTTATTTAGTAAACAATGGATTGTAATTATATAATCTGAGCTATCAAAATAGAATTGCGCGTAGAAATTTCTTCGCGAACTGTTGCGCGTCGGCTTGTAGAAAAGAATCTCTTCCGGAAAGTTCCAATGTTGGTAAAAAAGACAGCAAAACAATCGGATTGCTTTTGCTTTAGAACACATTAATTGGATCGATGAATCTAAAATAAATATGGTAGTTAGCGATGGAAATTTTTGGGTTCGATGTTCAAAGAATGCTGAAATGAATCCCAGATACACGACAAAATCTTCCAAGCACGGAAGTGGTAATATGTTATGGGGATATTTTTCGTGATACGGAGTTTGACCGCTGTTTTGAATTCGGGAAATCATGGAATAAGAATTTTAGAAGATGTAAGATCCAAGTGTTGAATGTAACAGGGCTTTAATTTGGCAGTTTCATCATGACAATGGCCCGAAGCATACCTCGGACGTAAGACTTGGCTACAGTATCAAGCAACCAATGCTATGACTCGGCCGGCGCAACTTCCTTTAAATCCTATAGCACCCTGTGAGAAATTGTAAAGTAAAAGTTGTGACACATTAAACCACAAAGGTGGGAGGAACTATGGGGAAAAGTTTAAGAGGTTTGGTATTCAATACCGAATTCAATCTGTAAAGCCCTAGTGAAATCTATGCCAAAAAGGTGCACTGCCGTACTCGCAAATAAAGGTTTTGTAACAAAATTCTAACTTATATGCATTTTAGAGTTTTGGTTCTATGATTTTAATTTATTGCCAGTTGAAGTTTCGGACAGTTCCTTTATATGTTATCTGCTGATAATAATTAAATTTATTTTAAGTTATATTTGCTTTTGAAATGTTTAAAATAAGTTTTATTACTAAAAATAATAATTGTTTTCTCCTAAGAACTGTACTAACACTTTTTTTAGCAAATAGTTGTGAATAAAATTTTGTTTCTATTTTATTGTCAGTAACTGTATGAACCTATGATCATTAATATACAAATATTCAAAGAAGAGAACCTAAATTTTCCGAATTTGCGAGTATTCTTCAAGTTCACTTTCCAACTTATGTCTTCCTTCCTAGCCTCCATTCAAAATGAGCTGGTGAAAACTTTTTTATTGCAATAATAGAAGTTATTTTCATTATTATACACAATACAATAAAACTTAGAACTTGAAAAGAAAAAGAACTCTTAACAATATTGGATTTCCAAAGAAAATGACTAAAGCTTGAATAAACTTAATATATTTATATACGTGCTTTATCAAACCGGATTCGCAATATTCTCTCAATACTCAACCGAACCAAGATTACAGTCTATACAGTGTGCTAGAGTTGACAGATATTTCACATGATTGAACTACTTCTAAATTTTCCAAGTATTTTAAACATTTTGGCTCAATATGATGTTAATTGGTCTACGCTAATTGAACGATCCTCACAAATCAAATAATGGCTTCCGTCCATCCAATTAAAATTAATTAGAGAGACAAAACTTGGTTTGGAATTGTATATGTCAAAAATTAGATTACTATCTTTTGAGTCCGAAAACGTCTAAATTAATTTAGTGAAGTTTACGAAATCTAACGAATACACCCCAATGAATTGAAATATATAAATTTTCCAATGCCAACACTAAGAAGACTATGAATCGCAATTGCAATATAAAGAGTTTTTATCTATCAATAACTGCCTAACAGCCCACTGTTCTTGACTCAGATGTGTTCTAAGTCAAAGTATATAACCTCAGAAACTTGCATTCAAGCAATAACTTTCGCACGAACCGGTCAAACTGACGCTGAAATACTACAAATAAAATTATGTGGCCGGGAAGAATTTATAAAGATCAACTTTTCTACGCCGCTACATTGACAGTGCTTGCGATAAATAGTAATACATATTAATTTTGCATTACTTACATAATTATAATCGAACGCTGCTCTTTCTCGAGTTTTTTACTACCAATCAGCTGATGCCTGCTATCAGGAACAATATTGCCTAACGCCACTCAACTACAGCGGACGCTATGTGGAAGATGAGATTTATGGATACATGTCCGATGAGGCCAAAACGCTTTGCGATGGTTTTTGTCATCATAACAGTATAGTGCGATTGCGTTGTTGCGCAGACGATGCTAAAGTCAAATTGGAAAGAATATCGGAACAAGGTATCGAGCGATTGCCTATTACTACATTAAAAAGAGAGGAATGATAATATCAAGGAACTGTTGATTTTTTCTTATATCTTTCAGTATGCATATACCATCATATAATACATAATTACATCATATATGGGGAACTGGTCAAAGACAATGAATTTCCATTTATGGTAGGTAAGAGACTAGTATGTGCAGAAGGAGTAATAAAATAGTGATCATGCGAGATCATATCTTTGAAACATATATTTCAAATTTTAAAACTTTTTCTTCTCCAGGCTGCTTTGGGTTGGCGCGTTAAGAACGAAACTACTGGAAACACGACTATAGTTTACAAATGTGGGGGCACTATATACGATCGCGGTTATGTAATCACTGCTGCGCATTGTCTCTATCATTCGAGGTACGAAAATTATGAAAGAAAAACGAGCTTTTTATTTACTATTAAAATAAATATTAGTGATCTACCAGTGGTAGTACGTCCCGGTGGATTCGCTTTGAATGATACTGAGGCTTGGGACTTGGAAATCGAAGAAGTTATAGAGCATCCCAATTATGATTATCCAAATGTATACAATGACATTGCAATTATACGCCTAAGGACACTATTTAGGTGAGAGGATGCTTTTTTTTAAAATAATTTAATGAACAGCTAAAAATTTAATATTTTTATGACCAAAAAGTGGAAACCCGTTTCATGATGAGCCGGCATGTCTTTGGGGTGATCCGGGCTCCGCGCATAATGTTACAGCCATGGGCTACGGGAACACTCAATTTGGTGGGTATTAGAAATTTCTATTATTGGTACCCCTTCACCCTTTATATTAACCGTAAGCAGCTGGCGTATCCTCCCCCTTATTGATGAAAACGAATTTATCAACAATTGAGAACAGCGAGTGCCAATTACACTATGAGCCAGACAGCGGTGTGCTGAGTGATGGAATTATATCGACGCAGATATGCGCGAAGGATCATGAGAAATTGCGTGACACATGTCAGGTGGGATTACAAGTTATTATTCTTTATTTGAAATTAAATTTATACAATTTTCATTACTGCAACAGGGTGACTCCGGTGGACCAATTATTAAATTTAGCAAACAAGCACATCTTAATCCCATGTCTTATGTTGTTGGCATCACTTCCTTTGGCATCGGCTGTGGCACCGGCATGCCTGGTGTTTATACGCGTATTTCTGAATATATTGATTGGATTGAAAATGTTACCTATCGAACTGTGCCAATGTGAAGAACAAATAATATAATAAAGAAATTTCAAGCATCTAAAGCGGAGTTAAAAAATAATCTTAAGAGGGAAATGGGTTGAAATCATTTTCTAATTTTGTATATCATAATTGTTCTACTTACATTTGTTTGATCATTTAAAATATTATATATATGAGCACAGGCTACAGACATTTTGGCAATAAATTTGGTTTTATGGATCATATGAAAATGTTTTTCAAAATAGACAACATTGGCAACATAAAAGACGGTTATTAATGTTTCTAGAATAAATGTGGTTTTGGCTTGGTTATTTAGCTTTGGCAATGATTTGAATACTTCGTATTATTCATAGCCTAAAAATATAACATTAGTTCCTTTCTAGAAAGATAGATAGATTAATTTTGAGGAATGCACCGCGACCTATGGTCTTTTGTGCATATCGACCTATCTAGAAACATGGATCCCAGGGCCTTGATTCTGCGTCTGGAGACTGCTGTGCAGTTCATTAGCAGATGTTTTGGCTCCATTGTGGCAAAACCGGCAGTTTGCAGAAGAGGCTAAGCCCATGTTGATGAGATGCTTCTTGTGCCTGCAATAGCCGGTGTAGAACGCGACAAGCAGCCGGAATTTGTTCCTCGGGCTTTAAACCGTTTGAGGTCGTAACGCCGCATTAGCAACCTGGCATGACGCATGCCTTGAAGTTGTTGCCAATGTCTCTCCCTGCCTGCTCTTTCCTCCCTACGGAGCAGCTCTTTAATGGTATGTGGACCAACCGCTATGAATGGTTCCGGTCCTACCATTTTTGTAGAGGCTGCAGAGCGGGCCAACTCGTCAGCCAGTTCGTTCCCGGCTATACCCCTGTGGCCAGGCACTCAAATAAGGTGCACTCGGTTGTGTTCTGGTAGGCTGTTCAGCCGTTCTATACACTTCTGCATTAGAAGTTATCTGACCTCGCTGAGTATCGCCTGACTATCGCTGAGTATACTTGCGTTAGAGGTTTATCTCTACACACCGACTTATAGCTTAGACCTCGTCTTGGAAAATGCTCGGAAAACTTTCCACGGGAATGGAGAGTTTGGTGCTTGGCCCAGCGACCCCTGCACCAATCCCCTCCACCGTTTTCGACCCGTCGGTGTACCACTTGATAGTGCTTTCCCTTAGCAGCAGGTCCAGTGATGAATCATTCTATTCCGCCTTACTGCCAAGAGTAACTTTGAACTTCTTAGTGAAGCTTACTATTTTGGTAATGTTGTCCCTTGGGAGAAGGGCCAGTGGCATTTCCTCACTTAGCGCCTTCATCTGCTGGGACGAGATTACCTTCCCTTTGCCAACTCCCTCTGCTGTCATTCGGAGTAGAGTCTGTTTAGCTGTCTGTTTGATTACCATGTGTAGCGGTGTAAGTTCTAGTATGACTTCCAGTGCTGCAGTCGGACACGTACCCATTGCTCCCGACGTGCAGATGCAGCCAAATCTTTGCAGCTTCGACAGTTTAAGTCCTATCGAGGTCTGCGATGCTTTAGAAACCCAAAATACCGCTCCATACGTGATAATCGGTCTTACGATCATGGTGTACATCCACCTGATAGTCCTTGGGGAGCACCCCCAGGATTTCCCAGCAAGTCGGTTGCACACCATGAGTGGTTTCGTAGCCTTGGATAGGGTCAGGTGCTTCCATCGTAGAGTGGAATCCAGCGTGAGGCCCAGGTACTTTACCGTGCTGGCCATCTCCACCACTCTGCCGTCAAGAGATAGATTTCTGAGGCCTGGCAGTGACTCTAGTGAAGGGAATGATTGTAGTTTTAGAAAGGTTGATGTTTAAGCCAACCCCACTACATCATCCCTTTGCCAGCCCCAGTCCCCTCTGTACGATATCGCAGAGTGTGTCTACGAATTTACCCCTAGCTAAGATAACAATGTCATCCGCATATCCCTGACAGCGGATTCCATAGCTAGTTAGCAGCTCAAGGAAATCGTCCACAACTAGGCTCCAAAGTTGGAAGAATAGCACTCCGCCCTGTGGGCAACCTCTTGTTGTGCCAAGACAAATTTTGGTATCTCCTACTGAGGTTTCAGCTACCCTAGTAGGCAGTAGGGGTGCGATCCATCTGCGTGCTGGTGCTGCCACACTCCTTTTCTCCAGTGCTCTTCGCACGCTTTCGTGAGACGTATTGTCAAAGGCACCTTCCATATCAAGGAAGGCGCATAACAGCACCTCGCCCCCATCTAACGAACTCTGGATCTCCGAGGTCAGCTGATGCAGAGCAGTATTTGTTGATCTGCCTGCTGAGTAAGCATGCTGCTTTGCATGAAGGGTGAAGCCTTCAGCACCTTCGATCGTATTTCATGGTCTATGATCTTTTTCATACTCTTAAGCAGGAAGGAAGTAAGACTGATTGGCCTGAAGGATTTCGCCAATAAGTAGTCTATCCTTCCTACTTTGGGTATGAAGATCACCTTTGCAGTGCGCCGTGGTTCTGGGATATATGCCAGCACTGGGCTATCCCTCATCAGCCGAACAAGGTGGGGCAGTAGTACCTGCTCAACAACAAATTTTCGCACAGTGTATAAAAATATTCTAAAATAAAAGAAATGTAGAGAAACAAATATTTCTTAAGAAAAAATCCAAAAGTTTCAGTAAAAAAAAAATAATATGATTATTATGAATGCATTACTTTCGTATGAAACCTGTTAACAAACTGTTCTCAAGCATTTTCGAAGCTTAAAGGCGTTTCTCACTTATTTTTAGCTGAACATTTTTTGACAGCCATTATTTCCGATTAGTAGCTTAATGTTTGCCAGCAGCATTAAGTTCTCACATTCAAGTTTTGTTTTCACTCGCAGTCAGTCAGTTGTAGAAGTTGGAGAAGATGCTGCGCTTGGGCAATTATTCAAAATCTATAAATTTTGGCATCATTAATTGGTTTATATTGGGTAAATGGATTACTTTTCATTTTTATATATATTTGTATAAAAAAAATTTAAAATATAAGTTTAATGATATAAAGTAACTAGCGTATTTATTAAAAGACTTTTCTAATTTTTTAATAATTTTATCAACAGTTATTCACTTTTTTTTGACAGCCGACGCATGCTATAATAGTCAAGAATGTTACACACCGAAAAACTTTAAAGGATATTATTACACACCTGAGAGATTTCAAACCCTTACTGATAGTCAGAAAAACAATTGTGAGGGTAATTGTGTTGATAATAACGTGACGCTGATTTGTTGCACATTCAATACTCGACCCCAAAAATATCGCTTACTATATCAATGTATGTATATATGTATGTTTTGCATATCATATATTTTAATTTATTTATTACCATCTGATCAAATATAACCCGGACTGGTACTGGAAACTGCTTCCACAAACCTTTTTTAATGTTCGTGTGAAGTTTGATATTCACCGCTGTTAGTTTACGACGCGAAAAATTTGTCAGGCAAATTTTACCGTGAAAAAAATTTACAATCAAATTGAATTGTGTGTTTTCAATGGAATCACGGCTACGGAATTGTCAAAAATGTTGCAGAAGTGTTTTGTGAAGTCTACTTTATCTCAAACACAAATATTTGAGTGACGCAAAGCATTCAATGAATGTCGTAAAGTCATCGAAAATTTGTCTCAGCGAGTTGTCTCTTCACCTCTCTTTATAACGATAAACTCGCGAAAATGTAAAAGAAATAGTGCTTGAAAATTATCGTGCTGGCAACAGAGAAATAGCAGAGGATCGGCTTCTCTAATGGATCGACTCTACACGGATTGGTTAATGTTTTGAGTATAAAGTGTGTCGATGCTGCACTCGAACCAAACGACCTGAATCTTTTGCCAGATTTAGCTCCTTATGACTGTTTTGATTTGAAAACTGAAAAATCTGTAATAAGTCCAGTGGAATCATGAAGGAACTGAAGGCTATTCCAGCCGACGCTTATAACAAGTGTATAGAAAATTGGATTAAGCGTTGGCATGCTTGTAATAGCTCAAGAACCAATTGGTAAAGGCAATAATAAATGTTTCTATTAAAATGTGTCAGTCCGGGTCAAATTTAATTAGATGGTATTTATTTCATAAAGAATACAAATAATTATTGTTATTAATTTTGATTTGCGGAGTTTCGAAAAACTATTTCTTAGATGGTTGCCACATATTTACAAATTTTAATGAATTAAACTAAATTGAAAATACAGTGAAATTTTAAAAAGATTTTGTCTATAAGAGCTGTCACCCGTTTAAATTATTAAATATTAAATAATTACAGTGTTAATATCGGTTTGAAAATTCTTTGAATTAAAATAGTAAATAATTTAATAATCTAACCCTTAAATAACACCCACAGCATGCATAGACGATCATTTGCAGTATGAATTTATTACATTTGGCGTAGTGGCTAAACCAAATGAGTTTCCATTTATGGTAAGCTGGATTTTAAAATATTCATTTGTAAATATTTAAATATGTAAATATTTCAACAAAATTTTGTTTCCTTAAATGGGAGGCTGCCTTGGGTTGGCGTATCACCAAAGAGGATGGTACAGAGAGCATAGCTTATAGGTGTGGTGCAACTTTGATCGGCAGCAGACACTTGCTAACAGCGGCCCACTGTTTCTATCACTCGAGGTAGCCTGTAGAAATTTTATTTTTTCAATTTTCTTTTAACTTCCTTTTCTAATTACTTCTCAGTGATCTGCCAGTTGTGGTGCGTCCAGGTGGTTTCGACCTTAATAGCACCACAGCGATTGATTATGATATCGACCAGATTATTGAACATCCCAACTACATATATCCTGGTCTATATAATGACATAGCAATCGTTCGTATGGAGAAAGTATTTCTGTGAGTGCATTTATAGATATTTTGAAGAATATTGACTACAGAGATTATTGAATTGCAGTAGTTACACGTGGATTGTTGCTAGAGCATGTGTATGGTATAAGCCACTGGCTGAGCAGGAAGTCACTGCCATAGGCTATGGCAATACGCAGTTTGGTAAGGAGCAGGGAAAGTGGCCAAGTTTTTATTCAATTTAATATTTTTGCATCTTCCAGCTGGTACCTCATCA